TATGAATAAGTACGGCACAATAGATAACAATAATAATAATTAAAAAAACTAAAAATCAACAACAACAAAAAAATCCATTATTATAGAAAATTAATGAAGGTGTCTGTTTTTGAAGTTGCTGGGAACATATCAGGGAACAGGGACTGTTTCTTGACTCGGGCATTCGTATAATTAGTGTATACTCATTACAGTAAATCAAGTTTCCCTCTCTGTTTCTTATGGCCTTTGTGCTCATTACACATTTTTTTTTTAAATTCTCAGTTTATCCCTTTTAACCATGTCTCAGCATCCAACAGGTAGTGCGGTTCCTAATAAGCTCATTAGCAGTCCAGGCAGCAGTAGGAGGGACGGCCCGGGTGGGTCTCTCTCAGAGGACACCACAGCTGTCTCTACAGGGGGAGCGCTTTAATTAGATGTCACACGGCAGAGGAGATGCAGACTCTTTCAGTACAGGACTTGGCTGACACACTAAAGAAATTACATGTCTGGTCATGGGCAACAAGCCATTTGGGGTGTTTTATGTGTGAATTCAACTATTTTAATTTTGTGATCCTGTAACTGGGTAAACTGGTTTCATTTTGCAAGACGTAATATAAAAGGGTCAATGACATAAAAGGGTGTCAACAATAAAGAAATAGGAAAATCTTTTTTTATGTTTTAGTGAACATCTAAATCATATTTCCAAATAAATAAATAATTAAATGCATTTGAAAAAAAAATTGAAAAAGGTATAGATATACTGAATTTGTAATGTATTTTTGAATAAATTAAAATGACAAAAATATGCTTCATATCATTAACCCAAAATATATTTTAATATTTTTTTATATAATCATATGTATAATTATATTTTTATATTTTACACTACCACTCACACGTTTGGGGTCATTAAGATTTTTTCTTTTAAAGGTTTTTGAAAGAATTCTATTTGCTCACCAATTCTGCATTAACATTTTCCATTTTAATATATTTTGAAATGTAATTTATTCTTGTGTTGCAAAGCTGAATTTTCAGCAGTCATTACTCCAGTCTTCAGTATCACATGATCCTTCAGAAATCATTCTAATATGCTGATTTGGTGCTCAAGAAACATTATTATTAGTAGTATTGAAAATGGTTGTGCTACTTAAAATTTTTGTAAAACCATGAAGCATTTTTTTAAATTGTTTGATAAATAAAAAGCATTTATTTAAAATAGAAATCTTTTGTAACATTATAAAAGTCTTAAGTGTCATTTTTGATCAATTCAATTCATCCTCGTTGAAGAAAAAATAAAATAAAAATCTCCAACATTCAACATTCGTTCTGGTTCCAACATTTTGAACAACAGTGTATATCTATAGACATTCACACATTGATCCCGAGGTTCTTTTTTCCACTTCTTTCATAACTAAACCATAACATATGAGATAACGCACATTAATTGTCAGCAACATCCAAAACAACAGAAGAAAAACACAAGATATGTGAAAGGCTTACTGATGGCTGAATGGAGGTACATCAGACAGACCACAAGCTTCATTAGCTCTTCATTCTCATGAAAGAAATTGAAGTAATGGGGAGAAAAGAATTAGATGAATATATCATCTTCAAAACAACTCAAACAACCCAAACTTACACAGTGTGTGGAGCAAAGTGAAGAATTCTGAAAGAGCCATTTAATTTCCCCAGTGCAAACAGTCATACGGTGGGTGAGTCACTGGAATAAGGGACATAATTGAAGCTTAACAGACAGAGGAAAGCTTAATGGTGGGATATTTTCCCCTAACAGTCAACGTGGCAAGAAATGAAACTTTTTTCTCGCTAGGGCTGACAGTAAAGCTGTCTTCTGAGATGACAGCCGATTAATCATCATAAGTACTTTGAAAGTTTAAAACTTTGACACATTATATTCTTTCTTTTGTTTGATGTTTTAAACAAGAGCAGCGGGGTACCACAAATCTTGGGGGTCCAACTTAAAACTATATGACAGGACACCCTTTTTTATCCCTTTTTGTGCTGATTTTCTGTTCATCTTTGTAGATTTCTGTCATCTAGAAAGTGTCTTCCAGTGGGAAAAAATTGGTGCGAACGAATGGCGGGATGAACAACAGACAGACAGACAAACAGACAGACAGACAGATAGATAGATAGATAGATAGATAGATAGATAGATAGATAGATAGATAGACAGATAAATGTTGTAATGGGTCAGGCCCCCTACCACTGATGAGTGTCCCGCATGATACGGAATAAAAGTGAATATAATGCCCTGCAATTGCACGAGATGTTTTGTTGGGCTCGAATGTATGCGAGCAATTAGAAAAGCATTTACAGTTTGCTTTGCCAACTCAACAGCTTGCATCCCATCGTTATCCAAACCCACTGCCTCGTGCCAAACCACACAGCCCTACAGGCACACAAAATCCGAAACCTCATCCTTGGCTAGAGAATACTCCTTCACAGCCTTCCCGCTGGGACACGGAAGTTCTGTAGCCTACAGCATATGCTCTGGGATGTTTTATTACTTAGTATTATGGCATCTACCCTGCTACTTCTCTTCTTTGCCCTGGTCAGCACATAGTTTGGGAAGAATCAGCAATCTCTTGATGTTTCGGGAAGCTTTCATCCTGCTGTTTTTTTGGTTAATTTGCTCTGGCGTATGTGATTTTCTGTTCATCTTTGTAGATTTCTGTCATCTAGAAAGTGTCTTCCGGTGGGAAAAAATTGGTGCGAACGAATGGCGGAATGAACAACAGACAGACAGACAAACAGACAGACAGACAGACAGACAGACAGATAGATAGATAGATAGATAGATAGATAGATAGATAGACAGATAAATGTTGTAATGGGTCAGGCCCCCTACCACTGATGAGTGTCCCGCATGATACGGAATAAAAGTGAATATAATGCCCTGCAATTGCACGAGATGTTTTGTTGGGCTCGAATGTATGCGAGCAATTAGAAAAGCATTTACAGTTTGCTTTGCCAACTCAACAGCTTGCATTCCATCGTTATCCAAACCCACTACCTCGTGCCAAACCACACATCCCTACAGGCACACAAAATCTGAAACCTCATCCTTGGCTAGAGAGAACTCCTTCACAGCCTTCCCACTAGGACACGAAAGTTCTGTAGCCTACAGCATATGCTCTGTGATGTTTTATTACTTAGTATTATGGCATCTACCCTGCTACTTCTCTTCTTTGCCCTGGTCAGCACATAGTTTGGGAAGAATCAGCAGTCTCTTGGTGTTTCGGGAAGCTTTCATCCTGCTGTTTTTTTGGTTAATTTGCTCTGGCGTATGTACAGGCCCCAAATCAGTAGACTCTGACAATATCAGTATTTGTAAACACCGCCTGGCCAGACAATCAAATGCCACGAGAGATATGAAAAATATTAGAGTGGTAAGGCGGAGTATAAATGATGCATCAGAGTAGACTAGTATGCAGACCTTTGACAGTTAAATGACTACTGCTGTGTGCACCGGGAGCAGAAATGGCTGTTTTCTACAAACAAAAACAAGACAAAAACTATTTTTGTACCTACAATAATCATTCAACCTAATTATGAAAAGGTACAAATACTTCAAGGCACACAAAATCTATGACTGCATGCACTGATCTATACGCTGTTTTTTATTAGATTTTTCTGTGGCCCAATCCGTTACTGTTTTCTAGTCAAAAAAATAAAAACCAACAACATCTAAATATCTATATAGACAACTTACATTTATTTAAGAAGCAAGACTTGTTTACAGAGAACATATCTTACACGAATATTCTTGTTTTAAGCACAAATCGAACTAAATTTAATAAGGTTTTTGCTTTGAAAAAAAAAATTACAATCTGGCACTGGGGCAAGATGCATAAAAAAGTTGTAATGGGTCAGGCCCCCTACCACTGATGAGTGTCCCGCATGATACGGAATAAAAGAGTATCCTGTGAATATAATGCCCTGTAATTGCACGAGATGTTTTGTTGGGCTCGAATGTATGCGATCAATTAGAAAAGCATTTACAGTTTGCTTTGCCAACTCAACAGCTTGCATTCCATCGTTATCCAAACCCACTACCTCGTGCCAAACCACACATCCCTACAGGCACACAAAATCTGAAACCTCATCCTTGGCTAGAGAGAACTCCTTCACAGCCTTCCCACTAGGACACGAAAGTTCTGTAGCCTACAGCATATGCTCTGTGATGTTTTATTACTTAGTATTATGGCATCTACCCTGCTACTTCTCTTCTTTGCCCTGGTCAGCACATAGTTTGGGAAGAATCAGCAATCTCTTGATGTTTCGGGAAGCTTTCATCCTGCTGTTTTTTTGGTTAATTTGCTCTGGCGTATGTACAGGCCCCAAATCAGTAGACTCTGACAATATCAGTATTTGTAAACACTGCCTGGCCAGACAATCAAATGCCACGAGAGACATGAAAAATATTAGAGTGGTAAGGCGGAGTATAAATGATGCATCAGAGTAGACTAGTATGCAGACCTTTGACAGTTAAATGACCACTGCTGTGTGCGCCGGGAGCAGAAATGGCTGTTTTCTACAAACAAAAACAAGACAAAAACTATTTTTGTACCTACAATAATCATTCAACCTAATTATGAAAAGGTACAAATACTTCAAGGCACACAAAATCTATGACTGCATGCACTGATCTATACGCTGTTTTTTATTAGATTTTTCTGTGGCCCAATCCGTTACTGTTTTCTAGTCAAAAAAATAAAAACCAACAACATCTAAATATCACTGCCTAATATGTTTGTGGAAAGTTATGCTTTTTTAGGATTCTTTGATGAATAGAAAACTTATCAGAACAGCATTTATTTAAGAATTATTATTATTATTATCATTATATTTTTTGTCAAATTTGCTCAATTTGTAGTTCACAAAAGAAAAAAAAAAACTTTCAACAACCCGCCTAAACAAAAAAGTCATCAGTTGCAGTGAAAGTTTGTAAATGGACAATGATGGACAATATACCATAAAACATCATGTTGGTTCTATACCTTTGTAGAAGCATTCCTCGCTGTGCATGATGGTTATTCTCTGATGGGCCATACAGGAGGCTCTGTGAAGCTCACAGTGGTTCTGGTAGAGTTTGCCATCAGATCCGCACACAGGTTTATAATGTGGTTTGCAACTTTCCAGACACTGACATTCTCCTTCACCTGTTTCTCGGTCAACCACACAGTGCTTTCCCAAACCACAATACTTATGTTCACAGTGCCCAGGAAAGCCATTCTGACCAAAGAACCCTGCAAAGACATATTAGATAGAGGGGAAATCATGTTAATTTGTAATATCATGCAAATATGATGAAGCATGCTATGCTAATTCACTTGAACAACTGCATAAACACGCATCATTATAGGTCAATGCGTTCTTTTATACAGGGTTCAAGGTATAAATATATTTTTTATCCCATACTCAACTGAACAATGAACTTACTGTATTTTAAAACACCAACTTTACAATACAAAGCATGCTACAAATAGTAGAGCTAGAGAGGCCATGAACAATCTCACGACCATTTTGCCATACAATGCAGTTGTTTTGTATTTGTGGTGTTTTGACAGTGCTGGCAGTAGTTGAGAAACCCTGTGGAGGAAACAATCCCACTGCACTGATGATATGCGGGCTGTATGGGCTTTAGATGAAATATGTATGACTGTAATAAAACGTAGCCTGAGCTCTAGCACGCTTCCCCTTATTATCAATTGCAAAGATGTGAGCTCCACTCCTCTTTCAGCTGATAATTTCATAGCGATTATGAATTGAAAATGCACAGTCACGTTTCAGCTCTCAGTTCCCCTGTTAGACAATGGCAATTAAGTTTAAGAAAGAGAACTTAATGCCGTATATAAACTCTCAGGGATTGTATAAAAATGACAGAAGCATTTCTTTTAGGAACCTTTTGATTGTATTGTCTTTTGATGTCTTTTACAGCACTCATTATTTATTTAATAAAAAAATTGTAACCACGTTTTTGTGTCAAATATAAATTCACTTAATATTTTTTTTTATTGTAATAATTTTAATTTTTAATTATATGAAAATTACATTAAAATAATAATTGAAATTAAAATTTTAACAAAAATTAAATATTGATTGGATTGTACTATAAGAAAAGGAATGTGTATTAAATAAATTAGATTAATTTTGATTTCATTTTTTTCTACTTACAATAAATAAATAAATAAAAATGAAACAACTCCATGACAGCTACACATTTATTTACACACTTTTGCTGAAAAATGTGGCATATGTTGCAAATGATTCTTAATTTGTTATTTTCAACTCACTTTAACAGACTTCCAAGTCACTCCTGTAATTTCATAACTTTATGGATCCAAGATGGCGCCGCAGATGGCTGCCTCGGTGTGGAGCTCTCCAGCTGTTTCACTGTTTTTGTTAGTTTGTCCTGTTTTTTGTTTCTCAAATACAATCAGTTTTACATGGGAAGAACTGCTGAACATTCGGCAGAACACACCAAAGCAACGGCGCTGTTCAAGTGTTCTAAGACGCGCAACTGTGGGAAGCGAGCAGATGCTTGTCATGCTCAGACAGCGCGGCTTTAGAATGGCACTGCTTAGCATCCGTCTGGCAAATCTCTACTCTCTACCCAACAAAATGGACAACCAACTTCTGCTCTCCAAAAAAAATAAGGATTTTTCAAACTCTGCTGCTCTGTGAAGCCATTCAACTGTAAGCAGTTTTACTCGCCGCAGGAATATTCCTCATTCATTCTGGTTAGTATTTACATTCCTCCGCAAGCGTGTGTGAATGCAGCGCTGCAACAGCTGGCTGATCAGATCACAGACACGGAGTAACATCATCCGGACTCTGTTTTAATCCTTCTCAGGGACTTTAATAAAGCAAACCTCACACATGAACTGCCAGAATTCAAACAACGCATTACATGCCCCACTAGAGACAAAAATGTTTTAGACCACTGCTACACCACAATAAAGGATGCATATCACTCCATCCCCAGAGCAGTTTAGGACTCTCTGACCACTGCCTGGTTCATCTTCTCCCAACATGGAGGCAAAAACTTAAATCTGGTAAGCCTGTAGTAAGTACTGTAAAGAGATGTACCAACAAAACAGAGCGGGCATTACAAGTCTGATTCGACTGCACTGATTGGAGTGTTTTTGAAGCTGCTGCCACCGATCTGGATGAGCTCACAGAGACTATAAGATCATACATCAGTTTCTGTGAGGATATGTGCATTCCTACCAGGGCTTATTTAACATCCAACAACAACAAACCATGGTTCACAGCAAAACTCAAACAACTTTGTCAGGTCGAAGAAGATGCCTACAGGAGTGGGGACAGAATCTTGTACAATCAGGCCAGGAACAAACTGAGATCAGAGTGGCTAAGAGGAGCTACTCTAAAAAGCTGGAAAGCCAGTTTTCAGCAAACGACCCTACTTCAGTGTGGAAAGGCCTGAAAGACATTATGGACTACTGTACAAGACGCCATCCCCCAACTCTGTAGGGAATCAACAACTGGTTGATGACCTGAATGAGTTTTATTGCAGGTTTGTTTGTGGACTTCAGTTTGGCCTTCAACACCATCATCCCAAACCTCCTCCAGTCCAAACTAACCCAGCTCTCTGTTCGTAGCTCTATCTGTCAATGGATCACCAGCTTTCTGACAGATAGGCAACAGCTAGTGAGAATTGGTAAATTCCCATCCAACAACCATCATAACTGCACTGGTGCCCCCCAGGGATTTGTTCTCTCCCCACTGCTCTTCTCCCTGTACACCAACTACTATACCTCTAATGACTCCTCTGTCATGCTCCTGAAGTTTGAGGACGACACTACAATCATCTGCCTCATCCAGGATGGTGATGAGTCTGCTTATAGAAGCGAGATTGAGCAGCTAGCTGTCTGGTGCAGTCTTAACAACCTGAAGTTTAACACGCTCAAAACAGCAGAGACGATATTGGAGTTCAGGAGAAACCCCCCTGCACTCCGCCCACTCACCATCATGAACAGAACTGTAGCTGCAGTAGAGTCATTCAGATTCCTGGGCACCACCATCTCTCAGGACCTGAAGTGGGACAATCACATTGACTCCATTGTGAAGCAGGCCCAGCTGAGGAAGTTCAACCTGCCACAGGAGCTGCTGATACAGTTCTACTCTGCAGTCATTGAATCTGTCCTCTGCACTTCAGTAACTGTCTGGTTCAGCTCAGCTACCAAAACTGACCTTAGAAGACTAAAGCAGAAAGTCCGGACTGCTGAGCGAATCACTGGTACAACCCTGCTCATTCTCCAAGAACTGTACTCATCCAAAGTGAGTAAAAGGGATGGTAAAATCAATCTAGACCCCTCACATTCATGCCACTTCCTCTTTGAACTGTTACCATCTGGTCGGCACTACAGAGCACTGAGCACCAAAACAGCCAGACAGGAAAAGTTTGTTTCCTCAGGCCATCTATACTTATATTTATTATACGCATGTTATTTATTTAAAATATATCTATCCACATTCCCTTGCATAATTTGTATATAGCATATCTGTACATACACATACTGTCTATTGTCTTATTGTCTACTGGGTATTGTTTTTGTATATTTATTTTTAATCACTTATTTTTATTTTGTTATCGGTGTCTTGTCACTTGTCATCCGGTCTGTGCACTGGAAGCTTCTGTCACCAAGACAAATTCCTTGTGTGTGTAAGCACACTTGGCAATAAAGCTCTTTGTGATTCTGATTCTGATTGTACTATATATGTAAGCCAACAAGATAACTTTGGTGACACTAAAATGTGCCAAATTCACAACAATCATGTTCTATACATCATAGAAAACCAAAGTAAGTTTGTGAAACATAATAATGACATACAGTTGTGCTTTTATGTACAGTTTCCTTTACAGAGCGTTAGAGACCTTTTAGATGTGTGTAATTAAATGATGACCCCCTTCATCACATACCACATAATGAAGACCTTTTCACTGCAGGTTGTTGTAGTAAAAGGAGAAAATTGGCTTTTGCCAGCAGGGTGGACAGAAGCCAAGATAGTGTCTGATTGGTATGCACACAGTGCCTCACTCTGACCACGGTGACATCAAAGACAAATGACTAATTCAGTCGCAACAATTTGTTATTGATGAGTCAGCTTTTCAAAGAGAGGAGAGAGAGTCTGAGAGGGAGAGAAGGAACGTTTGATTCTCATGAAGGGTTTAGGTTTAGGTGAAGGTGTGGTGTCAGGCTTTCATCTGCCCACCATCAAACATGGACTTTTCATCCCAGTAAAAGCCAACACGAGAATCCTAAACAAAGTGGCATACATAACATTATCAAAGTCTGCACTAAAGTAACAGTACAAAGTAATATCCCAAAAAGCGAGCCAGCAAAAAGTTGACAGCAGCAAAAACAAACAAAAAATATTCTCATGACCTGAAGAGGTCAAAAGAAATGCAGCGGCCTTCACCAGGGAACGATTTTTCTACCTGACACCGACAGCAAAGCCATGACTGAGCAATAACTAAGCACCACTCACCCGGTTGGTCTCTGAACCAAGTGTCAGCCCTTAGGTGCTGATTATAGCAGATCCATGACATGCATGATAACTAATAAGAGCTCAGCACAGGGCTTCAGAATCAGATACAGTCATATGCCACAACTGTGTACATATACAGATGTACACCAGAATACTTCCAGACAAAATAAAAGGAGGAGCACATCAGTTACTCTGTATTTGTGAAGATTTTTTATTAGCTGGGAGAAAGAGCAACATATTGAAATATAATTGTGAATGCTTGTCATATCTTAGCTATTGTAATTGATATCCGTCTGCACAAAGCCATTTGTGATGATAAATAGAGCGCTGTCTGGTTTCAGAAACCAAAATAGTTCCATTCTTTTTCTCCAAAGAGAAACTGACTTTTAACCATTCTGTGTAAATATTTCAAGCGAGACTTACCTCAAAAGATATAAGGTTATTAATCAATGGTATTATATATGTATGTTTTTTTAAGCCATCACACAAAAAAAATAAAAAAATAAATACAATCAGAGAATATTCATTTTCAAATTTAATTGGTTCATTTAAAAGTAGCCACTTCTAGCTTTCTATAGATATATTTATCATGTCTCTGTGTAAAATATTTCCTGAGTTTTGGTTAATTTTTATGACGTGTTTCAGAGAGAAGTTCATGGAGACCGAGACGGCAGAAAGCGCACCCTGTTTGTTTAGTTTATTTTACAAAAGCACAATGTTTCGCACAATGAAT